CACATCCTTCATATTTTAAATTCTAAGTCAAATATTTTAAAACGTAGTGCTACACAAATTATGGATGATATTAGCTTTTAGTTTTAATTCGAAAAATAACACCATGTTCTTGAAATTATGAAATCTATCTTCCATATATGTTTTCTCTTGTCTACTTCAACTTGTTTATTTAATGTGAAATCGAAGTTTATGATTTGCTTCTCTTGTTGCTCTCTCTGATTTCTTGCTTGAGAGACTCCATCACTTTCTTGAACTCATCTAATGTGACTTCTTGAATCTCACATTCTTCTGAGCTTCCAGGCCATTGTAGACCATTTTGAATCTCTTTGAACCTATTGAATGTTTCCTCGACTTGCTTCTCAGGATCTCCTCGAAGATAATGGATTATAGTCTGATAAGACATAAACAACATCAATAATATATAAGAAAAAAATGATAAATGGGATTTAAAAAATGTTATTAAGGATTTACGAATACTATGACTTGCCTGGTAAAGAGGACGTCTTGCATCTGTTATGACTTCATCCTCTAAACACTTACATTTTGAAGCCTCTTCCAAGTTTCCCTATTTTAAAAAAATAATAATACATTATTATAAAATAGTGAAAAATGATGTAGTTTATGCAATGGGAGATATGACATTAAAGAACAAACCAAGTAGATCAACATTTCCACAAGCAACATCTCAATCTCATAAGCCTCATGACCTTTCCCTTCTTCTCTTGCTTTCTTCAATGCTTTCTTTAATATCTCTGCTCCTTTTGCTTCTTTCCCACTCATTTCCATCTTTACAATGTCTCTCTACAAGAGGGACAAGATTTAGGGTTTTACCGACTGCAATGTGACCCGAAAGAGAAGAAAAAATTACTATATATGAACAACCTGAAGCAACCCGAAATCCGGATTTTCCTTCAAAAGCAAAGATTCGAACTCGGCCTCAGCATTTGCAAGGGAGGCAGTATCAGAGCGGTAAGAGTGCAAATCAAGCAATCTCTGCAACGCCAATTTTCCTCCTCGAATTGCCCCCATTGAAACTGATCTTGACATGGTTCTCTCATCTCTTCCTCTTCTTCCTGAAGAACCCTCCTTACCCGTGTTTTTAACATTATTATCTCTTTTTGGTTCTACACTGTTTTTACCTATGCTTCTCCTGATATCACGACCATTATTATCGTCTTTCTTCCTCCATAAACTACGATTTATGTAGCTCCAAGCAACATAGGCACCAGCAAGGACGAAAACGGGTGCAACTGCTGCTCCATACTTGGTCTTCATGATGAACTTGTTCTTGGACTGATTCACCATGTACTAATTACATAAAGTATCTATTTGCCTGGTGTTTAGTTGTTTCGCAATGTCAAATGTTAAAACTTTCCCTTCTTGAATGTTGATTTTATAAACAAGGAAAATTTGGATTGTAAATGGAAGAGGAAAACATTCAAGTTATGCTATTGTTATCTTGCATCATAGGTAAAGAAATTATTATACTTTAACCGAGGAGACATATACGAATAAAGAATATATCGCCATGGGTATTTCCAAGTTTCTAAAACTTTAATTGGAAATGAATAACTTTATTTTTCTTAATTCTGATCAAAACTTTGATGCCTTTTTGTCCAACTGAAGTTACTTCTGTCCGAAGCAACAAATCGATGCTTTCCTTCACAAATCCTTAAACACTCAAATGTTCTATGCATGTGGAGAAACTAAACACAAACAAACATTTAAGAACTAATCTCCACAAATCAACCTATGCAATAAAAATTCACTATTACTATTACTATTTAGGTTTTACATAAAATAAGAAACAAATGGCTTCTAAATTTCTTACAGGTCATACTCAGAAACTCCCCCTTCCTTTCTCTAAACTCACATCCACCCATAAACCAACACTTAGGTCTCAAAACACTTTTCATAGTTTCCCTTCCAATGGCCGTCAAAGCGGCCGTTTGTTCATCAGATCGCCGATCACGGTAGCCAAATCAAGCAGCAAAAGTGATGATCACAGTGATAAAAAGCTCCCAAGGCCGTTAAAAATGGTGGCAGGAGCATCCTTAGCACTTGCTTGCGCCTTAAGTATCTTCGGCTTCAAGATAAAGAATATGAGCTATACTGCCGCCGCAGCTGTGCATCCAAGCGCCGCCGACATGATCATATCTGGGAAGCCGACTGCAGCCACTACCTCCGGGCCCGGGATGACTTCTCCCTTGCCGGCTAAGTACGCATTGCGGTCTCTCTTTGAAGTGAGCTCAATGCTTGCTTCGGCTAAACCCATTCCTTCTCAAAGATCATTCAATCTTCAAAAGCTCCCTTCTTTGCCTTCAAAGGAAGATATTGATTCCATCAAGGTACAATTTTTCTCAACATATAATTATATATGTTTGCTAGCTTTTGTAGCGAATAACACGTGCGTTCATGATCCTTCAGACTAGCTAGGAGCGTTGGAACCAAAACAAACGGATTATTCGGTTTTATTTTTCTTATTTCCCAAAAAATTATAAATGACATTTAACAAACAAAATTAAAATATTTGAAACTAAGAATACATCGATGTATATATCTTTTAAAATTTATAATTCCTATAATTTAATAGGTCCTTATACTTTAAACCTAATTTCTACCTAATATAGCAGGACCATTAAAAAGCCAGAAAAAAACTCAAAGCATAACCATTTTCGAGTTATTTTCTACCAAAATCAGTCTCAGAGCTACGATAGAATTTTAGCCTGCCTATACCCATAAGATCACATTCAATATATGTTTTTTTTTTGTTTAAAAACTTTAATCAACGATTTTGAAATTTGGGGAAATATAGATGGAGGCGGTAAGGAGGATGAAGGAAGGAAAATGCGAGGAGGCGGTGCAGCTCCTTCGCGATGCAAACATGCGATACAAAAATGAGCCTGAGGCCGATTTCAACGTGCAGATGGCTCTCGTTGAGATTTTAATATTGCTGGTGATTATTTTATTATCTTCTTTTTCTATTTTCATATAACTTTTTTTTATAAAGTATTTTCATATAACGTTAATTATATGCATGCAACGTCTGTTTTTCTACATATATAGTAACTTGATCTATAAAAATGCAATCTCATGTTTCGAACATTCTTGCCTTTGATTAACAACTAATGGTTAGTTTATTTGGTGGAATTCCAGGAAAGATATCAAGAAGCTGGTGAGTATAGTTGTCTAAATGATGAGAATGCCCAGATTTCTGATGTTCGGATCCCTCTTTATAAGGTTCGTGAACATATATAGAAATAATATAATCTCTATATCCCTCTTTATAACTAATTTATTAACCGAACAGGCAATTATATACACGATGCTAGACAAAGATACGGAAGCTAAGCAGTGTTGGAAAGAGTTCAGAAAATCTATTGGTGAAGGATTTGACCCTTTCAGTTTCGAAGACTAATTATCTCATTTTAACTTTCATTGATTGATTAATACTTAGATCGATTAGTAAAAGATTGTTTTCATCCTTAGAAACATTTTACCCCTATCGACTAGTGGGGTCAAAAAACTAAAAAATGTCCGAATGTTACAAAACAATTTAAATTTATTACTACGGATATTCATTGTTGTTATTTTGATCTAGGCGGTCCATTGAAAATAGTGAGTTTTTTTTTTCAATCGCCTGGGATTTTATTAGACTTCAAGTAAAAGGTTCGAAACAGATCATCAAAAATCAAAACAACCAACCAAATTTTTTTTTCACACTTGTCTTAAATCTTTCTTTTTAGCGGTTAGTCATTTATGTCAGCCAGTCACGAATTCAGAAACATATCACAAATCTTTTACTACTAGCTAGTTTTCTTATTGTTATTCATATCAAAAATTAAAGGAAAGTTGTAATATTGATCGATGAAGCACCACGCATACACTAATTGATCAATGTTACAATTTTCCTTTAATTTTACCTTTATTGCGACAGCTAAACTGTATCATTTATAATTTGACATGTTTGCTCCTCTCCCTATATATTATCATCTATCGTCATATCAACATTCCCTTTAACATGTCTTGATAACATTGTTCTCCTTTAACCTAAAACAGTTTGATTCATCATCATGGTTGCCTCATAGGTTGACAATAAAATAAAATATAATTGTACTAATAAAAGTTGAAGCTATTCGATGCTAAAAATTTGAAGTTTATTATTTTCAATATTTGCCTAAATTGTAGGATATGATACTTTCTTTAAAACATTCTAAACCCCCACAAAGATTGCATGTCTCACTAGAAACTAAACATAAGAAACACCATGCAATCGATCAATGTTACAAATTTTCATTCAATTTTAACTATATTTCGATAATAAAACTTTAATATTTGTATTTTAGCATAATTCCTCTTCCACCTATTGTCTTCCTTTGCCATATCTACATTTTCTTAACCTGTCTCGATATCATTGTTGTCCTTCAATTTCAAACCATTTGGTTCATCGTCATACTTGTCTTATAGGTTAGCAATAAAATAAAATAATCTATATAATACATAAAAGTTTATGGTACTTTAATTTGAAGCTGGATGTGTCAACATGAGATTTAAAAACATCTAATAAAAATCATGGGGCAATTGCAAAAATGCCACTTTTAGTATGTACATTTGCAAGAATGCCACTTAGGGGTGNNNA